TACGTTTGCTTCATCGGCACTCCCACCAAAGAATATGATATAGCAAAGAGGCCTGACCTTCCTTGAAATGCACTTATCCCCTGTGACTCAAGGGTACTCGTGGCAGTGTAACCGAGTGGTTAGCGGGTCAACCTCCCATCCTGCACTGTCGCGGTTCGACTCCCACTGAGGGTGTTGATAAGACCTAAGCGAGATCGAAACTGCAATCCACTTCAGCCTGGCTGAGAAGAACTTTTGGGAAAGGGAGGCTATGTGAAATTTAATGGAAACGTCAGCTCAACTCATATCATTGTGGGAAAATTCTAATACCAGTCCTTCATCGCCTTAGACGGAATAGGGTGAATACCTCTCATATTACTGATTTACTGGTGGTCTCGAAACTCTACTCCAATACGAAAATAATCGGGCCTATGCCCGGCATCGAGCCTCACTGTTGAACCAATCCGAGCGTGGCATTAAAAGTACGCAAGGATATTTTAAGACAGAAACTCTTTAGAGTAGGTACTGGTCTCCGCAGCTCGCTTTGTGCATTTGTAGCCCTTTGTGATCGAACATTGCCCTGTTGAATATACATCACACTCCATCATTGTCTTTGCTTTTCAGCTTCGATTCCTCGCCTCGAACACTCCTTGTTTTATACAAGGTCATCCATGACTCGTTTGCTTGTTTCTTCATACAAGGCCGAGGCCGAACACGAATTTTCAGTGAACATTTAGACCACCAAAATGGTGGGCTCATTTCACCAGAACCCTTAAAAACAACCTTTGGTATGGTCACAGTCTCCTTTCATTTCATAGCTTTGTTGTGACCAGTGAAAATCGGGCCAAAGAAGTAATTGCTGCGTGTAAAAATGCCCGCAAAATTGACCTATTCCTGAAATATATATAATAATCACCAATTCCCCCATAAAACTTACTCAAATCATCTTATTTATTGATTTAAGAGCCAGGATTTTATGTAGCCAAAACATATGCTTAGTGATGTCCGGGCGAAAAATAAGTTCAATAGTAGCCCGTAAATGAATTTAAGTTAAATTCTTTAGAATTCCGGATCTGGACTATTTAATTCACTGTACATCATTTGAAAGCTGATGATATACTTGCAGGACAATTATCATTTTGGCTTAACGATATTATAATATGAAGAATAGAAAATATTGCCTATACATGTTTGCTATCAGTGGCCTCATGTTCACAACTTCCATTAAGCATAGAGGTTGTTTGACCTTGTTTTCGCAACATGGTCATATTA